AAGACACCGCAAAACAAAAAGAAACGATGGTTCCTTTTACGTTTCGTAAATTATTACCCAGGGAGAAAAGCATCAAAGTTGGATCTCGATGTTTCCTGGTCGTAACTTCGCTTCGTTCAATATATCCTAAGTAATATTAGAGGAGAAATAAACCTGTCTCACATGGAATTATGTATGTACATCTGGCTCGTTGTACTTCGTTTATTTTCAACGGTGGTTTCCTTGGGTAAGCGGTACCGGAACCAGCCTGGAGAACACGAGTCGAACGTCGTTCCAGACTGAACTCTGGAGATGATTACGTGACCAATCGTTGCTCGTGTTATAATATCGGTATTCGAAATAGACGATCAAACGCGCGCGTGTTTCCTTATCTATTTCCGTATATAGCAAATCGATGAGTTGCTCAAGGTGCAAGATTAAAAATAGAATAAAAGGATCGTTGCATCCAGAGACCGAATCGGTATTACCGGTATTTTTAGCTTACTATTCGATTACGTTTGATGAAACCAATATGGTGCGAATACTGGTCTAATGCTATCAAAACGATGTTAGGTCGGTAGATGTATTTCGGTATAATACCGGTAAATAAAATATTAATATATTAGAAAAGGAAAAGGAGACAATGATTAAATGTTTTCATAAAGCTGCCGATAGTAAATTTGATGAAGCTTGTACACGTACACTTTGTTTATTTTTATTAGCTTTTTTACTAGTTTTTTTTTATTTTATTTATATTAGCTGTTAGCAAATGTTAAGGGCTACCTAACATAATATTAATTATCGTTTATGTTAACAATTTTCAGGTTCCAATATTGTAGTTGTTCAAATGTCCGAATATTTTTTCCACGCTACATTTCGACATAGTTCAGTTTATTGTTTGATATTGAGAAAAGTATGTGCAATAAATAAATAAAATTTATGTTGCTATAAACTATAATGAATGTTCTATTATATTATTAAAAAATTAATCCAGATTTACTATTATAAATGATCGAAATCCACAACAATATTTTGAATAGCATGATGTCCGAATATTAATAAGAGTCACTGTACGTAGAAAATGAAAAATGTGTTTTCGTCAGTAAAGTGGTACCGTACCGATATATATTTCATTATTTTTACCATTGTGGACATCAAATACCGATGAAAATACGTATGAAAATACCGATATGACCGTCTTATACAGGTATTAAAACCGATTTCCCAAATAGCAGTTATATTACGATAATATGGGAGCAAATAGCTCACAATATTTCGGTTTCAGTCTCTGAGTATAATACCTAAACCTCAAAATATTTCGGTTTTCAGTCTCTGGTTGCATCCTTCGTTCATCCTCGCCCAGTAAGTCTTCGCTCTTCTCGATTCCCTATTTGTTTCAAGGAAAAAGTGTCTAATGACGTCCTGTCGCTAGCTATTATCGCTAGCTGTGGTTCGATTATTCATTCAACCGATCATAAATCACCGTCTAAAGAAACAGAAAAGAAAGAAAAAAAATTGCGGTGACATTCTACTTGCAAATCGTTCTCAAAGGAGTACGTAACGATTATACGCAGGAATAGAATATATTTATGAGGTTGAACGCGCGAAGAATCCAAATGGATTCAGGGCGGACGATAGTTCGGAGCAGGAGATCGGCGGCAAGAAAGCGAAATTAAATCACGCATGAAAGTAGCAGCATGTTGCGCAACGGACGCGAAAGTCCGTTCCCTCACGCAGATAGTTTTGATAAACATCGAATGGAACTATCAACGAACTATTAACGCGCCGATGAAGAGTCGTTGGAATGTGAGTCGTTTGCCACGTACACGAACGTGGAACGAGACACTTAATTACCCAAGCCATTTTGACCATTTTACGACCTCTTGTCTGACGTATGTGCATACGTCGATGCGTAAGCAGTAACTGAACGAAAAACAAAGTTGGACACATGATTACAATAGGTAGTTGAAAGGATACACGCATCCTACATTCTCAATCGATTTCTCGTTAATTGATAAAACCGCTCGGTCGGAAGATTCCCAGTTTCGTCATCGAATAACGACCGTTCTTCCTCTTGCTTCGCCTCTTGTCTCGCTCCACGGTGAAATAATAAGCGGAAACATCATCGTAACAGGACAAACTTCAACAACGACGCTCAACGATTCTGAAGAAACGCGAGTCACCGGCTACTCGTTCGTACAATGCCAACGAACGCGAGTTACGCTGAATTTTGATTTTTTTTTTTTTTTTTTCTACAAAATAGCGGAGTTGGAGTTGAACTCTGTTCATTTTCACACGTTTACACACGGACGATTGTTGGTTATAAACGAGACACGCACGCATGTTAATTGTCGTTTACACTCGAGAAGGTTAATTCGATTAATTAGACACGAGGCCGAGACATAGGAGACGAAGTAGATGAAGAGTTCGAAGCAACATATCATCGAATTCAAGGTGGTTGTCTTCCCGACCTCGTCTTCAATGAGTTTTTTACTCCCGAAACCCGCGTCACCTCTCTAGGAGTATTGTATTTCGAAAAAAATCTTGGAGAAGAGCTCGATCGATGATTACTTGCAAGGTGCAAGTAACTATCTCGGTCACGGTGTAACATAGAAATCAATTGCTCTGACGATCATTGGGAAACAGCTTGGGAGAATACAACTGGCGCAACAGTTGGTTTCCACATTGGTTTCCAAATTTTTGACAAACTGACAAACGACGAGAGGATATCGTTCTCTAATTGTATAATAAGCTCGATGTCGATTTCTTCCACAATTCTCGTTGGTTACGAGTAACAAATACGTATTCGAATACGTAGAAGAATCTTAATACTAGGATTACCAAGCCAATGAAAATGAAAAGCTATTTCAATTTAACAAAGTTAATTTTAATTTTCATTGAAGTTAAAATACCACTTTTGCATAGTTATCTATTATGTATATATAGATATATATTTGTGTACATTTATGCATTATATGTACACGAGTATACCTATACTTTTGAAAAAAATAAATCCGGAAAGTGTAAATCACTCCAATATTAGTAATATGTATCGCTCTGGTAATATATGATAATAATATATGGCATATATCATTATGACAATAATCTGATAATATATGGCAATTGGTAATATATTAATAATTAATTATAATTAATTATAAATTATATATATATATATATTAAATATATGTTATTTAATATAATATATATTTAATATATATTATAATTTAATTATATAATTATATATAAATATATAAATATTATAATCGTATTATTATATATAATATATATTATAATTTAATTATATAATTATATATAAATATATAAAAATCATAATTATATTATTATATTTAATATATACTATAATTGAATACTATATAAATATATATAAATTAAATTAATATATTAGCAATGTATCAGTATATATTAATATATGTAAAATATTTTAATATAAATTATTAAATACGTATGTGTACGTAATATAAATAAATATTAAATAAAGTGTAGTATAATTGTAGTACAAATAAATAGTAAAATTACATGCACACGTGATATGTATATATCACGTAATATTTGTGTCAAAATATTTCCACGAATTCTGTGAAACGACTCTAATCCAGCAAAGAATCTGGAACGAAAGTTTCACCATTCTACGTACCATACAGCGTACTAACAAAATCTATTCGAGATCTTGGTGGGATTTTCATTTAACGCGACGTTCAACAAGATCGGTAAAACAACAGGAGAATTGAAAACGAAGAACTTCTACGGAAAAGATGTCAACACCGAGTTGCGATAAATTCGATTTACTCTTAATAATAGCTTGAATTGTACAATGACTCGGTCCTAAATGATTACTAGAAAGTTTCTTTCGGAAGTGTAAGTATCATGGAACAATTGCATCAACTCGCGCGATTCACACGAATAATACAGCGATAATAGAGTCGCATGCGTGTCTGACTACGCACGGGCAGAATCTACTGAGAATCTTCCCCGCGCTACGGATTTTCGACGTAAAAACACCATCGCGGAAACATCACAACGTTTTGGTAGTTTGCTCCGTTTCATGTGCGCGAATACAACGAATAAAATAAAAATGTGTGTAAAAATAAAAATTAACGTTCGAATGTGAAACGACAGAAATCTAGCTCATCGTATTTTCACGCCGAGTCTTCACGCAAGTTTTTGTCAGTATAGAGGGGATCAAGGAGCAGTCAGTTTCGTAATCGGAAATAAGATCCATTTAGAAAAGAGAACGATATTGCGCTCGTAATTGACGAACAAAAAGTTATATCGACTATAATGCTTTCACCGGCTGTTATGACACGTCGCGTTCTTCTCGCGGAAGGTTTAATTAAAGAAAGGCTTGACAAAAATGTCACTCAGTTGATTCACGATGGATCTTTTAACACTTGGTTTGGCGCCAAACCGCTGCAACTATTAAAATGGTCAAAAAATGACCGATTTATAATTTTTCTTACAGAATACTTTACACGCTTGTACGTAACAGCGTACTTTTAAAGACTCGAATGATTTTTAGTTTCTAATTAACAGTCAATATTTAGTTTATAATAAATAGAAACTTATGCTATTTTCCTGTTTCTTGCACTTTACAATTTCTCTCCTGCAGATTTTACATTGTTTTCGATCGGCAGTGCATCTCTCAAGTATTCGTTTTTCCAACAAAAGACTCGAAACGAACGAAAAATATTCATCCAAAGCCGTTCAAGAGCCTAGAGATCGTTTTTTCTAAAATCGTACGCGTCGGATCGACGATATTGTCGATTGCCCTTTGGAACACGCGACGATGATCGATCGATCGAGCACACGTTTCCGTTCGGCGCATCTTCACGGTCACATCCGCCGGAGGATGTTGGTTCGATCCCTTCTTCAGGATTCGTGCGAGGCGGCCTGTCTGTGGAGCGCGCGGAGAAAGAGAAACAGAGAGAGAGAGAGAGAGAGAGGACAGAGGCTCCAAGTGTAGCGTGGAGGTGGTGCCAGATCCCTCCTTCTAATAAAAGCCGCTCACTAAGTTCCATTACACAGACAGTTACAGAAAAGCCGAAGAGAGCAGGAGCCACCGGAGTGCTCCTTTTAGGCCTCTTTCAGAAGCGGACGGTTTCTGTCAAAAAGTTCTATATCGTGTCGCAACGAGACGTCGTGTTGGTGAGTTCGATCGCGAGCATCGTTCGTACGACAGAAACGAGCCACGTGAGGAAAAAGCCGAGGCCTCTTGCGTGCCTGTCCACCGTACTGCGGGCGGATTTTTGGAAATTCTACTCACCACGCTGCGTGACAAGCAACGACTTGGATCCTTTTTTCTCGCGTAAGAGCTCTGCTTCCTCCTCCTGTCCTGGAGGAAAGTTGAGAACGCAACAGTTATCGGAGTGAAAATCAATCGTGAAGTGGTTCTCGCCGGTGTAACAAGCCTCGTAGGAGAAAATCGAAACTCGTAAGCCCGGTCTCGGTGGAAAATATACGGTTTTCTATCGAACTGTGGCGCGTACTCGACAATCTCGCGGTACGCACGTGATCACGTTGTTTCTCTCTGGCCTCTCTGGCCGTCAAATTCCGTCAAAGTCGCAGATGACACGAGTTTGCAATTCTTTTATCAAAAAAGAAAATCGTTTCTTACTCGCTTTCGCTCGCTATGCTCGCGAATTATTAATGAAATTTGCCAATATTTGACCTGGAAAAGAAAAGAGAGGAAAGGACGCGCGGTGTGTTGCAACGGCAACGCGTACTGAATTATCATTAACCCGATGCGTGCGTGCCGCCAGCATTCTATCACGCTTTCGGCTACTGCAATTATAGATTCGTTTGGCTCGATTCGAGTCGAGTCGAATTCAAATGCGCAGTTCATTGCGTAACGCGGCAGAGGTCGAAGCATAAAATGACACATTAAAGAAGAATAAGATTAGCATACTCCTCAAGGTGTTCTTCTTCTTTGAAGCTCTTCGAAATAGATAATAGATATCGATCGATTCGCGACGATTCGTCTTCGTCGACGTGCACGGAGAATCTCGGCGTCGCGGCCGCCAGCGGCGGTTCTCCGCTTTCATCCGGTCGAAAGTGATAGTCTCGAGCGTATCCCCGTGCTCGAGAAAGGAGAGAAGGATCTTTTCAAAGCGTTTCCGGCCGTTGCCGATCGATCATCCAGGAAACACGCGAACAGATGCAGAAAACTAACGCTTTCGGATTTCAGATGAAACTACTACTCTCCGAGACGAGCGATAATTACGCGACGTTTAATTTTTCTAACGTCGATCAAGTGTTAATTGCGTGTTAATTCAGTATTACCATCCTTCGATGGACGATCGACACCTGGCAACCGTTTCTTCGTTCGAACGTATCTGATACAAGCATCGGCTCTTTAATTAATTTAATCTTAAGGCTGTACGTTCCTTTTCCTCCGCAGATACACAAATTCGAGACAACGAGGCAAAATGAAACTCCTCGTCATTTTGGCAACAGCGCTCTGCGTGGTTTCGGTCAGCTCGAGCCCACTCTCCGAAGGAGATCGCCTTCAATCCGAGGTGAGTTGCACAAACATCATTCTGAACTGCCTGCGGCAACGCACGAAAATTCCTCGATATTACAGGCGAGTTTGCTCGTCGTTCAATTGAAATTTCTGGAACTGTTCTCGACGTCAGTCGTACGTACCACGCGGAAGGAGGCCTCAACTCATCTCGTTCTTCCCGACATTTACCATTTAAATGTCTCCGGGAAGCCCAGTTTTTAGAAAAATTGTCTCTGCCTCGCGTCCGAGAGGATTCGCGCGTCTTTCATTCCAGAGATTACGTAACACACGGATCGTGTTACGATCTCTGTGCCACAGGATCGAACGAGATCCATCGGTCCGTGTCCACGATCCTCCGTTTGTCTCGGAAGGCATCTCCGATGGCCATTCTGGTGAAAGCGCGGAGATTTCCCGTCAGCTCGCGACGAGCAGCGTCGTTGACTTCCCTGGTTAACCGTCGAGCTGATCAACTCGCTCGTTGCGAAAGTTCTCGCCTGAGTTTCGAGATGTCCGGCTAAATCGCCGGTGTCGGGCCGAGTCGCTCGATTCGGTGATCTCGGTGATGATGTTTCACTTTCGACGAGGAGGGGAGGGAGCCTGCCTCTTTCACTTCGACCGAGTGCTACGACCTGTCGTCGGATACAAAACCTCGATACGAGATAAACTCGCGTGGCGATGTTGCTGATTCATCCCGCGATTACGCGGAAACCGCCGACTCTGTGCGTGTTTGATTCTCATTTAACAACGCCGAGCGAATCGCGGCGTTCAGCTCCTTCGATCGATTCGTATCCGCTCTGTGCCCCGTGGAAATTCCGCGCAAATGTTTTAATCGACCGCTACGTCAGCTAATATCGCTATACGGCGAGATCTAATATTGACAGACTGTGCAAATATTTTTCTCGCTTCTTATTAGGAATTTTCTCGTTACAGCGGATAAGGATAAATCCATTCGAACGATTAAGGTCGGAGACGAGAAGATCGTCGAGAGAGAGAGAGAGAGATTTCAGAGATTTTCGTGGAATCACGAAATGTTGGCTAGGAGGGGGCGAAGGTTAGGTGTCGTGTCACGAGCGATGAAATACACGGCCCAAAGTCGGAACGAACGTCTGGCCGACTCTCCTCTTCTTGGCTCGACACTTTCACTAGCCGCGAACACTCCACAGAGTTACATCGGACACTTTCTTCGCTCGATCAATGCCCAATGGAAAGCGCGTGCGTAAACGTACACGCGCTCGCGTTGCACGTGTGTCTCCGATGCTGTTTCTGTCTCCGTCGTTATGATGGACAGCGGTTCACAAATCTTTTTACTGTCGAGTTTGTTGCTTGTTCGAAGAACCTCTGTCGTTGGTATCGTCAGTTTGATAATTTGTCAATTATCGGCTTGAATTAATTAACAAATTGAAGGCCGTAAGAAGAGTACATATATATATATACACACACTATATTTTATAATATATATATATACTATAATAATATATAATGTATATATAGTATATTGTATATATAATATACTAATATAATATATATACACTATATTTATACTATATATTATATATACTATATTCATGCTATATACTATGTATACTATATATACTATATTTATACTATATGTATACTATATTTATACTATATACTATATAAATACTACATTTATACTATATACTATATATATATATACACTATATTTTATATATATAAAATTCCTATATTTTATAGTGTGTATAGTATAAATGTAGCATATATAGTATATAGTATAAATATAGTATAAATATAATTCCATATAAATATAGTATGATAAAATCCCTAAACACTATATTTTATATATATAAAAAAGTGAAAAACGAGAGAAATCGTAATGGATTTCTCAAGCGATCCGCTGCTAATTTCGGAGACTCGGACGCCAGAACAAGCGCGATCTTCCACAACACGCGTTCACGTTCTCTTGCCCAACAACCGTTTGCTTCGAGACGAAAACGATCGCTCGACTTCGAGGAAAAGAAAGGTCAGAAATTATCCGAGCGTTCGCGGGAGATCGTGAAACCGATTTGTCACTGTTGAAATTCTATCGGCAGAGAAGGCTGGTTGCGAACGTGGACGGGCGCAGGGACGAATATCGTAACAGCGACTCGAACGTGAGCGTGGTATAGGGGAAAGTGTACCATGGTAACCAAGTTGAGCAACTTTTGAGACCGACTGAACGTCCAGGTGTCAAAACGGTTCGATTAAATTCATCGAACCACCTCGTCGAGCGGATCGCCAGGGAAAACTACGTAGTATAGTAGTTTGCAAATAAGTTGATTTTCACGTTCTGCGTAAATACGCTATTTTCGAGGGAGGAAAATAAAGTCACAAACGACAGAAAGTTTCGTGTTGTGACAGAAAATTGTAGCGAAATTGACGCAAGTTCCCGTAATAATATTCGCAAGCAAAGTTACACTGTGTGTATTCACTGTAAACATCAATTTATTATAAAAACGATTGCGCGCGGTTGTTACGTGTTCTCGTAATTTGCGTTTCCGTAATTACAAGATCGCCGTTTTTTACGCGTCGGGTAACTTCTCTAACCAGTTCACTATGCCTCTCGCGGAGTAGCAACTTCAAAACTCGCCGACATTTTCAACAAGCTTCCAGACAGATGTGCCAGTCATCTTGACGATATTTCCTTGTCTGTGATAAAACGATAACCGGTTCCGTGTGGTCTACGAGTCTATTTCTATTGAGAACGATCACGTGCGAGGAAGCGTGAGACGGAGAACCAGAGTCGGAAGACAAAAAAATTGCGAAAATTAGGAGGGGGAGAAAAAAAAGTCGATCGACTGCATTGGAGACACTTTGTAAGGACAACAGGGAAACTTTTTTCAGGAACTGAATCGGCTGATGATGAACGAAGCCGACGACGAGGCCGCACAAAGGAACAAACGGACGATCGGTATCCTGCGAGAACTATTCCCCGACGTTTCTCAGGTGAGCCGCTGCCGAGCAAAGTGCAGTGAAATCCTGCAGACGGCCAGGATTAATTCCCCGGTATATATTCCCCTATCCGGTGTCGGATTTGGCCGACGAAAACAGGACGCTGGTCCTATTTCGTTCAAATCGCCGCTTTCTCGGCATTAACCGGATAATTGAGAGATTATATCGTCAACGAGAACGTTTCATTAGCAGTCCGCCGTGTGTCGGTTCAAAGCCGAGGAGAAACTGTTCGCAGTGAATCGGCATTCCTCTCAAGAAAGTTGCACGTCCGATCGATGTTCACGATTCACGCGGAGTTTCCTCGTTTCCCGTGCGTTCTCGTCTCCTCTCGATTGCGCAACGACGCGCATTGCCTCGTTCGTGGCAATTAAAACCCTCGCGAATTAAAATCGAAAAACGAAAGTTGCCACGTACGATTCGAGCCACGCGTATGTCGTTCCACGAGCCACGAACGAAAATTCCCACCGAGGTCGAGGAGCACGATCGAGTTGCGATCGTTTTTTTTTTTTGCCTTGCCACGCCAATGCCAAGCTATCCACGAACTGTCGCAACGCACGAGAAAGAACAATTACAAACGATAAACGATTTCGAACGACGCAAAGACACGCCCGATAGTAACACCCTCGAGGACGCCACGAGTTAAGAGTCTCGCACCACGGACCGGAAAAAAAAAAAAAGAACGAGCAAGGCTGAGGGCCAGCTAAGAGCTGTTATTTTCTAGATGATCGAAAAAAAGGTGAACTCGATTGTCGCGGAAGTCATCCGAGTTCTCGGCCCGACCGTGTTTCGCACATTTCTTGGGAATAACGCCGGCGGAAGCTCGTCGAACGGCGATTCCACGGCGACCGCTAAGTCGCCATTCGACGACGACGACGACGACGAGGCGATCCAAGGCGATTCCAGGGTGTCGGTCTCCTTGCCGACTTTCCCGCCGGACGAGGACACTGACACAGACACAGAGACGGAAGCGTCAATTGGTCAGACGTCGAGCATCCGCTTTACGACGACCACCACGAGCACCACGCAGGACGACAAGGCGAACGAGATCGCCACTGCGGCCGTGTGACTCTGTTCTACCGGCCCAGATTGGTAACACGTTGGAGGTCAATGAACCTGAACCAAGTGAACAACCCTCATCATTGATCCGGCAAGGACGATCACCGCGCAATTGGGACTGCTGCGGGCGTCAACCATACTTGTCTGCAACACATTTTCTTATTTTCTCTCTCTATCTCTATCTCTCTTCACTGCTCTGTTTGTTAACTACACTCTCTCTTCTCTTCATGCGTGTTTTACGTCACAGGTCATTCCTGTTTTTGTTTTTTTTTTTGTCGCTTTTCTATCTGTTGGCATTGTGTTTTTTCCTCGTTCTTTCTTATTTTTCCTCTTTCTTTTCTTCTTCTTCTTCTTCTTCTTCTTCAGATCGTTATTTTTCATTTGATGTTCGAGGCCACTTCTTCTGTTGTTTTTTTCTTAAAAGAGAAACACATTAATATTAATTGTCACTGACTGATGTCTTCTGCTCTTCGAAAAAAAAAAAATCACTTTGCATTTAAGTCAAGTTTCAACGTAACTCCCGATCGATGAATAATATAACGAACAGTAAAAATGACCGTATTATACCACCGCATAGATTCAGTCGATTTTCTTCTTTCTTCTTTCTTTTTTGTGCTCAGCTTGTGACGCTCTGTCAATATCATCTTGATATATAAATGTATCACAGTTCTGTTGCAACATCACCACCACGCTTTTGCTGTGTCGTCGACTCAAAGCAGCGTAGATAGGATTACGTCCATGTCGGGCAATTCAGTTGTTATATCCGAGATTTGTAATCAGTGGGATAACCAGTTTTGAAAGATGTAGAGAGCACGTACGACACGACGCTCGATACGACGATTTTCAAGATATTCGAACTTCTCGCTCGGAAATCGTTGTTTCTAATCCAATAACCACGAGTCTCGACTCGGTGACACTTCCACTTTATCCAGTTGCTCATCAGAGTGTTCAAACGCTTGTAGGAAAGACAGTAGGATTCTGTATAACGCGATTAAGAAATTAAAAGGACTCGTTTGTGAAAACCGTATGCGTTTTTCCATTGCGTTTGTGAGTTTACTTTTGCGCGACGAGGAGGATTTGTTGAAAATCGTTACAATTATTTCTACGTAGAATTAATTGTGTTATCTCAGAAATTGAGATTAACAGGTACTTTTCGTTCTCAAAGAAAAGATTCTACTATTTGTATAAAAAGATATCTATCTTGTAGAAGAGCCTAGGAGCACTTCTCAATGATGTTCTCATGAAACAGATATTTTAGAATCTGTGTAATAAAAATTTAATAATTTTTATATATATAATTAATATAAAACAATTTGTATTATTTTCTATTATATACTCAATCATTTTATATTTTATTATTAATTTATTAATCAAATTAAATTTTAGAAAATTACATATTATTTTTAAACTTGAAAATTATATATTTAAACTATGAATTTTGATTCATTCTATATTACCATTAATATTTAGATTTATATTAAAATGAAATTTTTTATATGAAATAATTAAATTTAGTAAATTTATTTTATATTTACATTTATTATATTTATTATCAAGATTATTATTAATATGAGAATATCTAATTGTTTTTAAAAAATTTATATATATAAATAGTAATAATTATAATCCATGGTAACAAGCTACTTTAAAACATTTAATTGAAAATCCATTTTTATATCAGTATTTTTATATTAATGTTAGTATTTGGTACAAATACTGAGAACTTCTTTAATATCGATGAATAAATTATCCGTCTCTCCGACAAAAAAATGTTTACTTTTATATTTCATAAGTTCTATTCTGTTTGGAACTTTTACTTTTAAGAATATTTATTTATCTGTTTTCATCGGAATCTGTAAATGTAAGACCATTTTTCGCCATCCACGTTTCAAATAGAACCGACTTAGAGTCCCGTAATTTTTTCGATCACTCGTTATTTAAGTGAGCTACTTTTTATGTAAGAAATAACATTTTTCAGACACGACCTCAAAAATCTTCACGAAGGGCAAGTTGGGCAAAAGATATATATCATCTGTTTATATCATGCATATTATCTCCTGTTTTATTTAAAAAAAAAAAAAGAAAAAAACGATTATTCATCAACTTTCAACTTTTCGTATTCTCGATTTCAAACAACGCGAAACATATTTCTCGCATCATAGAGGGTCCTATGCATCACTGTGTCATTAATCAAATGTCAAAGACTTTTTCTGCGAGACGAAAACTCTCGTTTGAAAAGCAGCGTCCTTTCGTGAACGATTGGATACATTTGTGTGTGTTGCTTGCCGAGCACGGCCGTCATTCAGCCATCGATCGCTCGATCGACGCGCGCTCCGATCACGGGACATCGCGAGAACGCGCGTCGCACGCCTCGTTTTGAATAAAAAATAGTCGTCGTAATTTGCTGTCCAAGCGTCGATCGATCGTCGCCGAGCTCGACCCGAGAGAGACGAAACGAGACGAGACGAGCTTTCATAACTCGCCTCGATTATCCAAGACGACCTAGACACAGTTTCGAAATCCTCGAATCCGAGTTGCTCGGCGATCGATCTCTCGGCAGCTGGACACGTCCAAAAGAAACCAGCTGGAAACGATCGCCAACATGAGTGTATTTTATTTCGCAGAATGTGAACCGAGAGGTGGAGGACAAGGTGAACGAAGTGGCAGCCGAGTCGCAGAACAACGAGGTCAAAGTGCAGTTCGCGGACGAGCAGGGCAACGAGAGCGCGGCGCCGCCGTTGACGCCCCTCGAGGAAGTGGAGGCCGAGGACGACGAGAATAGAAACAAGAGGTTCCTCTCCGGCCTCGGCGGCTCCAGCAGCTCCGGCAACTTCGTCTTCGACATAATCAGGGTGAGTTCTTTCCCTTTCTGGCGAGCCGAGGAACCGCTGAAGTTCCGTCAGTATCGAGTGAAGAGTGGAAGTGGTCAAAGTGCTCTTCAAAACGTGACATTTTAATTACCACTGCCGATATTTATAATCAACGAGGCGATCCTGTCGATCAATACCGACGGTTTCGAGTACCGTGCAACACTCTTTCAGAGAGATTCTGTTTTTTTTTTTTTCCTTGATTCGACGATTCGAGAGGAAAGAAAGGGGGGAATTGACGCGCCAAGTGAGAAACGAGATAGACAGAGACGGATTGGTGGAATTTATATCCACCTAGGTAAGAGGCAAGGGCGCTTACTCGTGGCCACTCGGTGAAAGTCTACGGCCGAATTGCTCAGCCGCCTGGTTACTATTCCAAGGTTCCTGACCTAGGCTCGCGGTTGACTCGAGATGAGATCCAAACTCGAGACGACTAAAGAAATCCGACATTCACGCACGTGTCGCGAGGCGCGTGCGCGCACACACGCACGCATGCACACACACACACATACACACACGCTGGAACGAGAGATCCGTGACTCTGTTTCTTTTTTTTTTTTCCTTATGTCGTGTCCGAGGTCTAGTTACGAAACTGTCCTGGAAATTACGATTACATAACCGGTCGTTAGTTTCAGTCTTTGAATCGGTCGTTGAACAATTCCGTACGCGATTTGAAAATTTATAATATTACGTTTCTCTAACGAGCGAAACAAGTTTGTAGCAGTTTTGCGAAGATGCGAATAGATTCGCGATATTCCGTTAGAAAGAAATAACTGAGCACCAAAGCTTATCAGACGTGCGTGATCCTTTTCTAAAAGGTCACCATTGTCACTGTACGCTAATGGAGAACCAACGCGATCGTGACTAACACGCATGACTGCTCGAAACCGGTCGGTCGGACCGACCTCCTTTTACGACATTTAAAAACTATCGGTCGTTTCCTCGAAAACGTGCCGCGAAAGATTAGATTACGTTTCGCGTCCGTTTCACGTACCGACAGCCTCGGAAATCCAGAAATTCCGTCGAGCTTCCGTCCACTCTTCACCCGATTTTGATGAGAAAAAGAATCAAAATGGACAAACCCACGGACCCAAGATCGAACGACGAAATAGAACTAGGGTTAAAAAGCAGAGCCGTCGCTCCCGTCGAGAATTTCCAAAGGAGAATGCTCGTTTCGTCAGTGGTTAAAAACCGTTTCAGCCGCTTTACAGGGTGTCCAGTTGGTCGGGCGGCGAACACTGATCCACGGAGGTGAAGCGGACGAGGGAAAGATCGATACGACGCGACGTCGTGACGATCGTGGCACGAAAGAAAAGAAAAGAAAAGAAAAGAAACGAAACGAAAAGAAAAGAAAAGAAAAAAAAGAAAAGAATGATTAAATAAAAAGACAGGCGTTCTACCGGAGGAGCGGATCAGTAAACGAAAGTTTCTCGTCTCTGTTCTCGTTTAGCAAGCGGCCGACGGGGCGGCAAGAGCGGCGGGCACGGTGTACCGTGTGGTGGCAGGTACGCAGAGCCTAGGGCTCGGTTTAAGCGCCTCTCGGGACTTGGGCCCGGTTCCCCAAGGTGCCGCCCCTGCTGCCGCTCCAGCTGGTTCCTCGACCACGGCGGGATCCTCGACCAGCGCAGGAGCCGGCAACCTACCACCGGTACGCCAATCCTTCCGAGCAGAGCAGAACGGACACTGCCAACTGCACTTCTCTCTCTCTCTCTCTCTTTATCTATCTATCTCTGTCTCTCTTTCTCTCTCTCTCTCTCTCTCTCTCTCTCTCTCTCTTCTGAATTTCTATCTATTTCTTTTTCTCACTCACTTGTCCACTCGGTGAACGGATACCACGGGTTTCGTAGCGACGATTTTCAGTGGTCTCGCTGAATGTTGGCCTATTGGAACCTGGTTGGCTTGTTGTTTGCTCTGTTTCTGTTGTTTGCCGATGGTGCTTGATCGCACTTTTCCTTTTCACTGACATCTTAATTCTTGACTGAGGTTTTCTGTGGGCGAAGCACCCTTTTGAAACAAGAGTACTTCTTCCCCCTTTGTTCCTATCATTGTAAATCAAATACACTGTGCAAGTGTCGTGGCGCAAGGAGAACAACCGTTGATTGTTTCCTGACGCGTCAAGTATTTAATATTTGCCACGTAAGAAGTACTTTGCACGTATACGAGCAACCAGCCGCGTATTTAACAGCACCCAATCCTCCGTACACCGACGCAAGGCATGATATGCTGTGTTTGATGTGCATGCACTCCTCGCACGTGACTAACGACCACCTGTTGCACGTAACCAACAGCCACCTGTTGCACGTTCCACGTGTCCTCTTGTTTATTCATCATCGTCTTCCGTTTGTTTAACCGTGCAAGCATCGCTCGTCTGGCCTTTCTCTCCTATCTCCTCTTTTCTCTCTTCGTTAGCTTGCCAATTCCCAAGCAAAGTGTTTCTACTTGTTTGTCGATCGTGGATGTTTTCACGATCCTAGCGTAATAGAGTCTTAGACGTAATGCATCGTCGTTGTCACTAACCAACCCTTGGTTACATTCGTCCTCTACTCCCATTCCGAGTGACCGAAAGAGTATTTTCTTTACGAGGTGAAACATATTGGCTCGAACGTTTACAAGAATATTAACCTCTTGCGCTGGAATGACGTGCCACGCACGTCGAGAATATTTCGCCCCAAAATTGCAATATTTTCCCAGTTTGTAAGTATATTTGAGTAAAACAAAATAGGCAAAACAAATAATAAATTTATTGCTTCTCAATAATTTTTATCTACTTCTATGTAAACGGCATCATACCGACGAGTTCGAAAAGAAAGCGACGAATTATCGTATACGGTTTGGTCGCTCGTTATGGCCCGCAATCAGTTACCAGCCGCAAGTGGTTAAACTAAATAAGAGTGGATTTCAGAGTTTCGTAACAGTGTCAATGAAATTTCAAGATATTCATGCATACAAAAATATCTATTGCTTTCACAAATTATGATAGATAAAAACGATAGAAACCTCTATCGTCGAAAAAGTTTTTCCAACGCGACGCATCTTTCAGTCATTCGAACGCCATTTAACATCGATTATCATCGCCACATCTTCCCACTAATCTTCGTCGATCCTCTTCTCCGATATTGGACAAGTATCAAACGAGTACCTTGATGATCCTTCGTCCGTCCAATCGTTTTTATCCAACTGTTCCACCCGGCCAACGGTCGCGACGCGACACCAACAACCAGCGACTAAAGACAAAGTAGCTCGGCGAAGCAACTGGCTGATGAACATCCCGGCCGACTGCCTTGGAATCTCAGGACCAGCTATTGATCGATTGCCGATTCTTTCGTTGTTGTGACCTTGTACTCGCCCATTGCACACACATACATATTGTATATCGTTGGTAGCTGTAGCTGCTGGAACGCTGCACCAAATGCGACGCGCAGCCAGACGAGTCCGCGACGTTTCACTTTCAATTCGAATCTCCTGACGAGATGCCGAAATATGCATATGAGGGCAATAAGATTCTCGCGCACGGAACGAGATTCTCGTCTGGCCTACGTACGTGTTCTTCCAGTAGTGCATTTGTAAATTGAGCAGCAGCACAGTGCGTGACGTACGTTTTCCTCGACACAGCCGAGTGTACACAGGAGAGTAAGTACGTATGTACATCGATCGAGGGTGCGTCATGCTGATTGTAATTATCACTGTAATGTTATTCTGTCTTTGGGTCCTGGTTAATGTGTCTCTAGATTCGATTCGCACCTCTGCAGGTTGTCCATACGAACTGTCGAGAGTCAAGTCTCTATTTTCAAGTCTTCAGATTTTGAAATTACCTCGCGAGATGTTTACCATTCTGTCGAAGAGAACGAAATACAAATAAAAAGATGTATTCCAAGCGTATGGACAGCCAGTAGAGATATCGCAACGTGATATAAACAACGTCACGAGCCGAAGGAGTGCACGTAAGGGTCGTAGCAGCAAGATCGATGGATCGTAGCCGCAAGTAGGATTCAGGATGTAAAAGCACCAAGTAGTGTCGGGAGCGCTGAAGCTGGACGTGGAGCTGCTGCACATTATTTAGAGAAACAAACGAACAAACAAAAATTATGGCAACGATTCGCGCCGAATAACGATCTATCATTCACCTTCTCTCGTCGTTCTTCCCGAGAAGACGTCTGCTGCCACGGCAATTCGACTAATCGGTCGCTCGATTATTTCCAGCTGGTGGCCGGAAGCGGTGGCGATGCCTCGGCCGGGAAGAGCGAGGAACCTCAGGAAGCGATTCCAGGACCGGTCACCAGGCTCTTCGTCATAATGAACAGAGGGATCTCGAATCTCGTGCAGGATCTCATTCTTGTAAGTAACTCTCCAACTAACTTGGCGCAATAAGTAAAGTAAAACCGAAAGTAAAGTAGTGTAAAAAAGACGCGCAAGTTTCGAATTATTTGCAAAAAAAGAAAACAACAAAAAGCAATGAAAAAAAAGAAAAGAAAAAATTAGCGGAAAAATGAAATTCTAAATAATTCAATCACCTCCGTTTCGACGATTAATTTTAAAATTTCAACAATTAACCTCGCAATTACGGAAGGAGAAGCTTCATTACAAAGACAGTTTCTTTGCAAGCAAGATAGAAGAGGGAAGGTTCTGCGATGATTAACGATCGAACTCTCTGGCTAGAAATCGATTATGTTCAACGAAACAGAGAGGGCTGCGGAGCGAAATCTCCACGCGAAAAGGGATTGATCGAAACGCGGTCGTATATATCACTTTCTTCGAGATCTTCCTTTTAGTAACCGTGACGGGTCATTAACTCGTCCAGATTGTTCGTTATCTCTCTCTCTCTCTCTTCGTGTTGTGTCTTATACAGGGATTTTCGTAACTTGTAGGACCTACTTTGGAAGCTGATTGTACGCCTAAAAATAATGAAAAAAAGTCGTATAAATATATGTCCTATCTGTCTTATGAGATATAATGAATTTTATAAACAGAGCAAACTCTCTGTCCGGCTTCTCTTTCCATAGACTGCAATAGTTCGTAAGCAAGAATTCGCACTGTTTACAAATAATACTTGATATCTTTCGTTTTTTGTACTTGGTTCCTGCAAATGTGTGAACGTGAAGAAAGTTTTGTATCTACCATACTTTTCACTGATGAAGCTAGTTTTATCAGGGATGGTATATTCAATTTTCATAATAATCATAATTGGGATGAAGAAAACCCACACGTTATTGTGCATTCAAGACATCAACACCAATTTAGTTTAAACGTATGGGCAGGAATAATTGATAAATTTTTAATTGGACCTTTTCTTCTTGATGGGAAACTAACAGGCACAAAGTACGTTGACTTTTTGAGCACGCGTTTAGACGAAATATCAGAGGAAGTTCCAGTCGATATTAGACTTCGTATGAGGTTTATACATGATGGAGCACCGCCGCATTTTAGCCGAGCGGCTAGGCAATTTTTAAATCAAAATGCTGAAATTTTTAAATCAAAATGAAAATGCTGAAATACTACGAAATAGAATAGAGCAAGGCTTCCGACAAATTCGAGAAACACCAGGAATGATAGAGAGAGTAACCAGATCAATGACAAGACGCA